GAAGTCAGTGTATATTGGTAGAGTGATAGAAAAATTTGCATAAATATAATGAACGAGATAGAAAGGTAGGGATAATGATGGGATATTTGTTGTTGTTCATGGAGGGATGGTGAATTTGTTAGTTTATATTCTTTCGGTTTCCAGGCCTGATGGGGTTCAACCTTCATTGAATATGATTTTAATTTAGTTGGCTCCCTGTTTAGCTTGCATTTCTCTTCTTGTAGCTCCAGTTTTTCAACCTCACCTGGGCCACTCTCGGTCTGTACGACTGTCTTGATGACAGTCAAGAAGCATCTAATAGCACCCGCAGCCGCCACATCCACTGTTGCATCCATTTCCACATCCACTACATCCTCCGCCCCCCCCACATCCACTACTGCCACATCCTCCACATCCTCCACATCCTCCACATCCGTTGCATCCGTTCCCCCCCCCGCCACAGCCTCCGCATCCATTACAACCGCAGGAGCATGGCCTGCAACAACAGCAAGGTTGGCAACAACAACAGGGTTGGCAACAACAGCAAGGTTGACAACAGCCACATCCGCAACACCCCCCACCGCAACCATGACAACCACCACAACTACCACATCCTCCACAGCCGTTGTTACAACATGGTTGACAACAACAGCAGCACGGCTGGCTGTCAATGAAGGGATTTTTCAGCATTATGGCGATGTGTGATTTATTTTTTGTTTTTTATATGTAATATATGTGTGCACACGCATTTGATGTGGTTACAGTGGCTCTCTTTCTCAGTAAATCACTAAATATCAGGTGGATGAGGTAAATTACATTGAATTACCAGACACCCACATCCAATAATTTAACAGTTTAATCGTGTTCAAATGGTTATTGTATTGCATGATATGATGTTATTGACCAGAGTTGAGTGAAAGGGCAGAAAGACGGCAAGAGAGATGAAGCAAGGGGAAGGAGACGACTGAGGCAGACATATTTTTGCACTATATTTAGCTATGCCTCTTGTTTGTAACATAACTGCCATAACTTTGTGGAAAATAATCTTTGTAGCAACCTATCCTTGTACTTTTTATTTTGCAAAAGCATTTCGATTCTCTCGCTTACTTATGCACCCATAAGTAGTGTATTTTAAAATAAATTAAATTGGCCTTAGGTTAAATAAGAATAGTAGACACAGAGAAATGAGCTCACCAGCATCCGCATCCGCATCCACAAGACATTTCGTTGATTAGTTTGTGAAGAAAAGAAGGATCCGAGTACGGCGGCAACAGTTCTACTGTTCCTAGATTGCTTGGGTGGGCTTACTGGTTTGCTGCTGCCCTTTTTTGCCTTTTATATTAGTTGCTTCTCATAGTTTTCGGTAATGTATCTACGATCTCGTCTGACTAGACTTATTGTCTGCATTTTTTGCAACAACTTGTCTTCTTACAAGCCTCCCTTTCCATTTATCCTGACGCCACCACTCCAACTCTCTCGCATCTTGAAACTCCCATAGACTATTTTGGTGGGTTTATGTGCTTATCGCCTGTTTGTACATGTTATCTTGGAGTGACTGAGAAATGAGTCAATTTTCCGATGCATCTCTTCAGAATGTTGAATATTTTACTTAAGTACGCTTCTTTTCTTGATCACTCATGAGGCCTTTTCGTCTATTTCTGTCCCACCCTTTGCCGCAATTTCACTGGTATGCTTTAAAATATGCCCCACATCTTTTTTCGCATATTTGACTTACCTGAAACCAGGTTTATTATTGCCTTGTTCTGTATCAGCAAATAAGTGCAATATTGTCTTTTCGTAAGCTTGGCCAAATGCGTACCGACAAAAGCAGATATGAGTAATTACGCGCACCCAAATCCTGACACATTTACACAAATGTAAGCACACTTCTAGGCATTAAGTTAGACGATGATGGACGATCCCTCTTTTTTTCCAACTTTTCATCATATTATTTTTCATGATGTCTGATTCCACCACACATTTTTTCCGGCCTCTTTCTTTGCTGATTTCCGGTTACCCTTGCTTCTACATGGGCCATTCCTATCATTTCTCTATCTGACTTGCAAACTCCATCTAAATAGGAAAGCATTCATGATTTTTATTTTGCATTATTTAACCACTTCTGCCCTTTAAATAGAAGGTTTGACTGGGAAATAAAAAAACCCTTTATTTAATGCGGAAAAGTTATTCTATTATTGGATAGGAAGATTAAGATAATGCTCATTTTTGTTATATCTTAACTTTTTCCTAGTTTAGTTGAGTTATTTTACCTCGTGATTACCAAAATACACTAACTCGTTCTCTGTTATTATGACAATATGTTACTACATTTGACTTACAAATCGAAAAACGACATTCCAAGTTCTTTGTGCTAAAGGAAATTTCTTTCAATTAATAATTTTTTTCATATTTGCCTATATCCTTTTGGTGTGAAGACTTTCATTTCATTTGGAAGTACACGATGAAAAGATTCATAGGTCAATTTCACCAGAGGACATCAGCTGATTCGTGTTGTATTGCAGCCGTTTGGCATTAATACGACGTTCAGCTTGATGCAGTTCACGATACTTCCAACCTTTCGAGCGAAGACGGACTGAGCTTTCGATTGTCATATGACGAACATAATCAGAGCTGGGACTCATTCTTGCAAAATCCTCAAGTTAATACTAAGTCAAGAAGACTAATTGACTTTTTTCTATATTATGCATTTACTCATTGAAAGTAAAATTTAAGATATGGATAAATATAGAAAGGTTTCTTTAATTGACATATGCTCGGGTGTGTCTATGTCTGTATGTATGTTAAACGTCTGTACACAAAATCGGTCATAAATCTAAGTAATTAGAAAAAGCTTGACGTCAGTCCGGGCTATCAGGGCTTAATGACCCAAGGAAAAAAGGATGATCGAGATTGCGTTAGACCTTAGTAACCCTGGTCAAATAGATAAGATGTGAAATTCAGATTACACAACTATTAGTCCGAACTAGTTAGTTATAATTTTCCTGATTTTCCTTTTTCATTAGATTAATGATCATGAATTCTTTGGAATAAAATTCCTAAATGAGATAAATTATGGTGAATTTTGCCCTTTAAGGAGTCATTAAGACTAACTCTCTTAGATTAAATTCTAAAAATGACAATGACAGAGTGAAACAAAGCAACCTTGATATTTTTAGTTTCAGGATTGATAACGATTTTGATTTTTCCGCTAATTATCGATAATTTAACGTTATCTCTTTGACGAGTTGTAGTGTGGTGCTAAGAATGACAAGACTCACTGACGATGCCGAGTACAATGCCGGCGAAACGTCTGGAAATGTACGAAGTCCTTGGTCCTACTTTGGAAATTATCATGAATAATATGGACTCTGGACAAGATGTGTTACTCTAGGTCTTCCTGCCAATATGAATAAGCTGCGAAAACAAGGTCAAACCACTTCAAATACTATAAAGTCTGACTGACTCTATTTACGCAACTTGGTTGGAACGACAAGAAGACCTTGTAGGACGTACTTATTTCTATGTCCTCTTCTATAGTATTCATTATGATTTCCTGCATTGGGCCGCTAGCTTGGTACATTTTCAGACGTTTCGCCGACATCATTATTGAGAGGCACCATCCTTAGCACAGACTTATACCAATCATTGGACACTTTGATAAGTTGTAACTCTGTGCCAAGGGTTGTGCTCCTCACTGATGATGCCAGAATGTACCAAATTAACAGTCTGATGCTAGACTATCATATGACGGACCAAAGCTTACCACATTTTCACCGGAATCAAAGAAGATTACCTCGGAAACAGCGTCAGTATTAATATTCCAGTAAAGCCAATCGATAGCTGGTCAAGAGGAATCCGCCGTCGTTTTCTGGCTGAACCGACTTTTCAATCTCTTCACCCAACACTTTCACTCGAAATGGAAATAAGTTCAACAATAGTAAAACAAGAGATTCCTCAAAACCCAACTTTTCTTCGCATGTTTCTTGAACAAAAACAGGGTCACTGCTATTTATTTTATCTTCTGTCTTTCTAGCTCTATTTCTTTTTA